GGACAAGAATGTACTGGAATGATATCTAAGTAGGGCTTTAAAGAACAAGTGGGAGAGACTGATTACAGAAGAGGGCAAGGCATTCTAGAAGAGACAGCATGTGCGCAGGTCCTGGAGGGGGACAGAGTTAAAGCCTTTCGTCCTCACTGTGGCTTGAGAACGAGCTAGAGAGAAGTAGGGCCTAGAGGTGAAGTTGAGGCTTGCCGGAAGGTCTTTCTTACCCAGCAGAGGGGCCTGCACTTCATTGTGTGAGTTTTTGAGAAGGCATTGGAAGGGGAAATAGATAAGAGAAAGAGTGTCTTGATGGAGAACACTCTGAGAGCTGGATTGAGGATGAGTATGCAGTGCATTAAGGGGCATCACTGAGAAGCCAGTTGAGTGGTTTGGGTGAGCAAGAATGAAGGCTGAATGATGTCAGTGGCAGAGGTGGGGGAGGGAGGTGGAGGACAGGGGTCAGATGGGCAGCTTGATGGGTGCAGGGAGATTGTAGGGAGCAGGCTGAGAGACATAAGAGCTGCTTGCTTAATAACTGGAGAGTGGTACAAATGTGCCTCTTCTGGGGAGGAGATACTGGGTTTTGGTTTTGGACATGGAATTTAAGGAAGTCTTTGAAAAACTTTATGTGGAGGTAGCCTGTGTACTTACAGTAGGTCTTGAGGGGAGGAAGGTGTGTGTGTGTGTGTGTGTGTGTGTGTGTGTGTGTGTGTGTTTGTGTGTCTTTATCAATTGCTCTTCACCTTATTCTCTCACTGAATCTGAAGCTCAGCAAGTCAGCTAGACAGTCTGGGCTTTCTCAGTCGCTGCCCTTACCAGGTGACAGGAGTGTGCCACCACACCTGACTTTTTACATAGGTACTAGGAATCTGGACTCAGGCCCTCATGCTTGCACAGCCAACACTTTACCAACTGATCTACATCCCCAGCCCCAGGAAAGATATTTGACAAGCAGAAGATGTCAGCCTACAAATTCAGTTGTATTCACTGACTTCAGATGATATTTTCAAGTGAATACGAATCAGAGGTATCTTAATTCTGCAGCAGAAAACGATCTTTTGGAGTTCCTTGAATCATGAGAAGTGTTTTCATCAAAGCCCTTTATTCATGGGTGTGCTAACATCTGGGGAGCAGAGATAGATATTTTCCTTAGGTCTGCACTCCTGAGCCATGAGCTCTTCCCTCAATCCTAATTAATCCTTTGTAGTTAGTGACTGATGAAATCATGGCTCTATGAAATTTTAATCCTTGGCAGCATGCACGCAAACTGACTTTATCACAGGGCCCCAGGTGTGTGTGTCAGAAATTAGTGTGTGGAATCTATTGCATATTTGATTGCCTTATAAAATCCACGGGATCTGGAGGAAGCAGACTCGTAAGTGTCAGAAGGTTGTTTTTATTTCTGTGGCCTTGCCTAATAGTCAAATGTATGTCATGTAATCTTAGCCCCCAGAGAGTGTGTAGTCAGCTGTAATGCCCTACCTGAGGAAAGTATATACCTAGGGGGACCAGGAAGTTGGAACCTGGTCCTTGGCTTCATATGCTGCTGCCTCTGTCCCCTTTGCTGGGAGACCAGATGACAGAATGAGTCTGGAGTGAGGGATTGAGAAGAGAATAACGCTTCTGATACAAGGCAGGGTCGAGGCTCTGTGATAAGATCACGAGCTCTGGCTTTCACACTGTCTCAAAATGGTGCGCTATGGACTGGAGTAACAAGAATGCACAGTTTACATGCTGTTCAGATGGTAGCTTAGTGCTTGGGAGTTCAGGTTGGCCTTTTGACACAACATTTCAAGGCAGTTGTGCAGGTGTTCACGCTTATGCCCCCACAGGTTACTCTCCACCACAGCCGTATCTCCTGTGGCAACTCTGGAATGACTTGTTGGGTTTCTCACCAAGGACCTCCTCTTAGGCCCCCTCTAATTGGGCATCCGCTGCCACCGTGTGTGCTGTACTAGTCGTCTCCTTTCGATGCGAGAAAGATAGCTGACAGGCAGATATTTTTGTGCGGGATTCCCGAAGTTTAGTTGGAAGCCTTGGTGACAGACTCCTCCTAGACAAGTGGAAAACCTCTGTTTTAGGGGTTTTGCAGAGCGATGAGAGATGAGTACACCATACTTGTCAGTCCCGTACAAGGGCTTTAAAAGTCGGATCCATATGGATCTGACAAGAAGGGCAGAGTTCACTGGGCACTGTGGAGGCCTGAGCCTGAAGGGGGATTGCTAGGGGGCCCCTTAGGACCTTCCCAGGAGGGAATTCTTTAAGGAAGAAGTCACTTTGACATCTTATCATGTCAAAGTGACTTCCTGGGGCCCATGAGCATCTGTCAGTACTTCCCCAAGGATCCAGGAGGCTTTTAGAGCCACACCAAGCCTCTGGAGTGTATATAGACCCCCAAGGCAGAACCGGTGGTCTAGAGGGGGAGGGACCAGAAACAGAGTAGTAGTCCTGGAGCCAGTGTGGTTCAAGACCAGCTTAGATGGGATTTCTCCAGATATCCCTCACCCCTTTTCTTTCTCCCACATCATAATGGCATTCATCATCTTGACGTTAACACATATGACATCTAGTCCTTGGAGACCATGACCTCTTGGTGTCTCTCCATTGCTGCTACAGGAGAGTTTCCCTTCTAATCTGCCCCATGTGCTTCAGGTTTCTCCCCATGACACTGGCCCTTCTTGATCTTCTCCGTGTCTTCTCTGCGTACCATTTGGGTGCTTTCTTTTAAACCTGATCAAGCTGTAGGGCGGCAGTGTCATATTCTCATAGCTGACATGATCGGTTGGTTGTATCTGTCCATTATTGTATTTAATCATAGCCATGGCCCTAGAGGTGAGAACTGTTCCTTTTCTGCTTTAGAGACGAGGAAACTGAGGTACAGGCTAGGGGAACCATTCCTGCACAGTTGCCCAGCCTTGAAGTCATAGAGTGAGGCTTTGAAGTCATCACTGACAGATTCCTGATCCCATACCTTTCCCATCACATCACACTACAGCATTCCTCAGACCTGTGCACATTTTAACCTTCCTCCCACGCCGGTACTTCCAGAATGGCCTTTACATCTGTTGGCAGCTCTTCATCTCAGACTGTCACAAAGGATTTTCTGAGGTGTGAAGTGTCATGACCCCTATCTAGGGCAAGTTTGGCTATGGGGTACTCGCTGTCCTCAAGGATGATTCCTAAGCCCCAAGCCCACAGATTTCACGGAGACTGAAATGGCTGTATTCTTCATAGACACTGGGCTTGCCTGTTCCAAAAATGGTGATTTCTATAGCAACCATTTATTCTAGCAGATGTGTGCCTGGTATGGTTGGCAAGAAGGGCGGGATCAAAAATGGAAACGGCCTTTTATTCTTCACTTCCTGAACGCGTGCCCTGTATATGAGGCAAACAGGAGGGGAACCATGGCATCCTTTTAGCCTGTATAACATGTAGGGCCCAGCGCAAAGGATGATTTCTGTCTGCTGCTTAAGCTGGGCTGGTTGGTGGTGGAACTTTCTTTGGCAGGCATTCCCGTTGGTTCCAATTCAATGACTGTCTGTCACTTTGGTTTCTGCAAAAAATGTAGACATTTATCATAAGGTGGTTGATAAACGTGGAGGGCACAGTAGCTGAAGATCACAAAAGTCTGCTGTACTGTGTGTTGCCCAGGCTCTTCGGTTAAGGTTGTAGGTTGAAATATATGCATACATATATTCAGCTGAAGCCAAATAAAAGAATTTGTTGTCCTAAAACAGGAGTTTCTTGGAGCCCAAGGGCAAGAAAGCGGGCCTCGTTTGAAAGGTGAGGGAAGAGAATTAGCATCTCGCTGTTGGGTGCGTTCTTTAGGTCCCTGCATAGTCTGTACAGCCAGCTTCATCTCTTTTTGCAGAGTGAAGCGAAAAGTGGCCTCCCCAGGACTCCCAGGAGGACAAGTGACAAGGTTAGGTTCAGCTGTCCGTATCTGTGTCTAGATGCTAGAGAGGCACTCTGTCTTATGCAGCCGAGCTAGTGCTCACACCTGGCTAGTCACCCACCGAGGCTTTGTTGTGAGGGCCATGGGTGTGGTCTGCTCAGAAGCACATGGCGGTGTCTCGCAGTGTGGCTCGCACAGCAGTGTGCTTCTCACCGTTCTGGCGGTTGGATTTCTGAGATGAGGGTGCTGAAGGATTCCTGCTGAGAATTCTTCCTGGCTTGTCTTCTCTGTGTCCTCATCTGGTGAAAAATGAGGCAGAGAGCTGTCTTGGTCTCTTAGGGTTTCCTCTTTCTCTTCTTTTTGAAACAGGATCTCTCTATGTAACCCTGGCTTGCCTGGGCTTATCATGTAGACCAGGCTGGCCTTGAACTCAGAGACTTCCCCGCTTCTGTCTTCCAGCAGCTGAGATTATAGGTACATACCACTATACCAGGCTTGGTGGGGTGGGAGGTGTCCTCTTTTTATAAGGACACTAATGGGGTTAGGGGCCAACCCTTATGACCTTGTTTAACCTTAATTGCTTCCTTATAGGTAAGTCACATCTGGTGGTATTTGAGGTGAGGCTTTCAATATGGTAATTTTAAGGACACACTATAGTGTAGTCCATAGCAGTTCCATAGTTTAATATGGCTGCTGGGGTCCACTCTTGCGTTTTGTGGATTGGGAGGGGCTTATCATGCCCTCTAAAAGAAGTCTACCACAAATAGAAAGAATGAATGTACTACCAGAAAAATGCTGTATGCCAGCCAGATTGGAGTCTCAACTACCTTCTATTTCTTTTTCTTTTTTTTGAGATAATTCTGTAGTCTTCACTGTGTAGTACAGCTAGCTTTGCACTTGCAACAAGCCTCCTGCCTCAGCCTCCATGTGTCCCTAGGTCTGACTCCAACCTCCTTCTTGGTTGTACTACAGTTGAAGCTAATAGCTATGGTGTGTGTGTGTGTGTACCCATATATACATGTATATACACAATACATATGTCAACATACATGTATGCATGTGTATACATCCATGTATGTACACATGTATGCATATATATTTGTATATTTATATTTACAAAAATACATGTCTTTCTAGAAAGAGATTGTCTGAGGATGGCTTTCCAGTCCCTGTTCCACACTGAAGCCAGCTGGCCTGTTTATTCACACATGAAGTTTGAATTTGAGGAACATACATGTTCTTCACTGTCATGAATCCTCATCTTTCTTAGGAATTGTTGAAGACACCTGAATTTGCCATTCTGCAGTCTGTAAGTGCTATGTAACAGAAGATTTCTGACAATGACCTTAAGGGTTTTTTTTAATGAAATGGTGAGATATGATCTAGGGACCCCAGACTCTTGTCACCAATGGCTAAATGGGAATGTGGGCACCAGGCTGTTCCAGGGAGCCTCCTGTAGCGTACACTCCCGTGCCAGTGGGATCCGTGCTGTGACAGAGACCAGATGATGAATATATTTTTAAACTTGGAAGCCATGAACCACTTATTATTTCTGAATTAGGAATCAAAACATATGAATAATCTCAACAGGGGTTCAGCAGATGCATTCTGCCTTTAAGGTCACTTTGCTCTGGGGAGATGGTCTGGGGTGATGGGAAGCCAATTCCAGCCCATTCTTCTTGTGACTCGGACATTCGTGTGGCGTTTGCTCAGCTAACCAGTCTCTGAGTGTGATGCAAGCGTACACTGTAAGTGTGGTGACATGGGGTCAGGGCAACACTTGGAAGCAAGCGGCCATCTTTATTTTTTTTAATAAGCCAGTGCCACCAGGTGCTGTGAGAAGAAGCTGGGGTCTAGTGGCTGTGATGATTGAAGAGGCAGTGACCTGAAACAGTGCTTTTAGATGCATCACACATACTCTTACCCTTCCCCTTTGCCCCTCTCTGCACCTCTTCCCCCCACACCCCTGCCAAACGAGGTCCAAACTGAGGTGTTGTGGAATTGCACCCTCGCTAAACTCTGAGACTAAGGCCAGTCATTTAGGAAGGAGGTGGTGGAAGAGGAAAACTCCCCTCCTCAGTGTTAACCTGTTGGCCCTGTAGCATGGAAGAGCCTTCGCCATTCAAGCACTGACACATCAGCATCTCCTGGACACAGCCTTGAAACCCGAGCTTCACGCACCAGGAGACAGTTAAGCCAAGCCCAGCTGATGACAATAGCCCTGTTCTTAATGACTGGGCAGGGTGCACCTGTTTCGGCCTCTCACCCACTCTCGTTGCTGCTGAGACACCGGTGTTGAATAACCAAATGTAGCATTCTGCTCTGCATTTGAGGGTCATCAGGGACAGAAGGCTTTTTGGAACCTCAAGGACCTGCATTGCAGCTAGAGAGCCATGTACAGGCTCAGCTTGCTCTCTGAAGGAAGGGGACCCAGGGTGGGCACTCATTGGGCCTGACCTTTTCATCTGAGTCAGATGGATCCCAGACCATTCGTTTTCTCTACCCACCTGTTTTCCAGTAGTTGCATCTGATGACTGTAGCAACACCCATTTTGAGAAGCAATGCAAACAAACTCTTAAAGAGTTAACAATAGCCCCTGTCTTCCTCCACCCCGGCCCTTCTGTAAGGTAACCAATGTGCGTTTCATTTTTATGAAGTCATTTCAGAACAACAGAAGAGTTCCAAGAAAAATCCAGAGTGCCCCCACATCCCCTCTTCCAAATTGGGACATGCGGATATTGAACAAAACGTGTTCACTGACTTCTTTTTTTGGTCCTGTATAGCTGTAAGCCAGCCCTTCCCAGTAGGAGGTAGCTGTGCTGTCCGTTTTTACCTTGCAGGTTAGGAGGCTTGTGCAAGATGTGCTGATTGTAGGAGTAGTCTTCGGGCTTCAGGGTCTCGCTTAGGAGAGCTAGGTTCAGACGTGGTTCCATAAAGGGAGTCACCCCACAGATAGATCTGTTTTCTCATGAGGTGGCAAAGCAGCCCTTCCTGAGGAGAGGTGGGGAAACTGCCCACCAGCTTCTAGAGAGATTCACATTTGTGTACCTCACCTCTTATAACAGATGCACCCTTATTGTATGAGAGGAGGACCTAAGTACCCTGCAAACCCAGTCTTGTGTTCTTGGATGGCTTGGAAAAAGGTACACATGGAGACCGCCATGTTGAGGAGCCTCCCGATGAACCTGCTGCTTCTGCAACCTCTCACTGCAATCCCTTCGCCTAGGAAAGGCTGTGGCTTTTATCTAAGGCACCTCTGCCCCATCTGAATTAAATGAATGAATTAAATCACCATCAAAAACGAGGCAAACCTTGGGCTCTGTATTGAAAATATTTTAAGAGGGAACCACAGAGCTGAGTGTGGTGCCCTCTGCCTTTAATCCCAGCACTGGGGAGGCAGAGGCAGGCAGGATCTCTTGAGTTGGAGACAATGCCTGGTTTACATAGTGAGTTCCAGAACATCCAGGGCTACAGAGAGAAACCCTGTTTGAACCGCCCCCAAACCTTCCTGTGGCTTCTGACAGCAGCAGGCACAGCCCTGAGCCACCCCATGGCTCTAGGCCTCAACAAGGCGAGGACACACATCGGAGGCACAGCTGGCACCACAGGTGTACAGCTCACCAGACACATCGTGCGGGCTTGGGCACCCTATGAGCAGTGTGCGTGGGATGTCCAAGGACAAGCCGGTGTTCAAGTTCATCGGAGAGAGGACAGGCATGGACATCCCTGCCAAGAGGAAGGAGGAGGAACTAAGCCACATGTTGGGAGCTATGAGGAAGTTGCTGCCATTTCCTCCTCAATAAAAATTTATGCTGGGCGGGGGCTAAGGGGAGGTAACCACAGAACAGGACTTTGAGAACTCCCCTCTCTTGGTTTCATTGTCCCTGGATTGGTTCCAGGAAGTGTGATGTCTTGTAAAGAGCTGAGCTGTTGTGGAGTACAGTGGGGAAGGAGCCTTTGGGAGGGGTCGGAGTGTGGCTGTTGGGAGTGACCTGGCATTGACTTCATCCAGGGGCAGGGTCGGGGACCTGGGCTTCTGTGACAGTGGCTAGATGAGAGCCTGGCTGAGTGGTTAGACATGACACCTGTTGAAAGTGAGGTTCTTTGTGTCCTTAAGTGCAATTAGAGCCCCAGGTCAGGTGACTGACTACTTGTGGTCTGAAGACCCAGGCAGCAAACAAGTGTTCTCCATCTTTCCATTCTTAACTTCTGGAAGCAATATTATCCTTCCCTGGAAACATCCAGGAAACTGTTTGTGGTTCCCAGTGGTTTGAGGTGCAACAACTTTGTCTTCCCCAGAAGATTAGTAATCTCTTAGGATCGGGACCTTGTCTTTCTTCCTTCATCAAGCAGGGGCTAGGGAAATGTGTCTCCTCAGCCCTGTCTTGTGACCTGAGGTTAGCATTCTCTAATTCCTCTACCTGTAGAGGACTAGGTCTGCTCCCTTGAGTCACAGAGCCTGGTACCAGTAGTGTATTCTCAGGGTGAAGACAAGAGTGGTGGATGAGTGTTCAAACCCCTGTATGAGTGCACTGTTCTGTGTGGATTGTCTGTAGGAAACCTCACTTACATATTCACCCTGTGTCACAGCAACCCACAGATGGAAACCAAGGTGACCTGCGTCAGAATCCCATGGGGTGCATATGTAAAACTCTTGCCTGCTTGGATGGACTGGAATCTGAATCCCTGAGGGTGGAAACAGATACCTGTGTTAAATAAGCCTCCTAGATAATTATAACATGAAGCTAGAGGACCACTGTCCCTATTTGGCCCTTGCATACTCCAACTCTCATAAACACAAACATACATACACCTATGAAATGACTGCTTTTCGATTGAAGGTATAGCTCAGTGGATCATCACTTGCATAACATACGCAAGGCCCTGTTGTACCCAGCACCAAAGATAACACACACACACACACACACACACACACACACACACACGCACACGCACGCACGCACGCACTCACAACAGTCTGCTTCTTTTGCTGTAGGTAAGTGGCAGGGGCAAGGACACGGGGTGGGGGGCAGTGCTGGAGGCTAGGCTCCTGACTAGAGGTACCAAGAGCCAGAGGAGGAAAGATCAGGGAAGGGTCTCAAAGTGGGATTTTTAATAGGGCTGCTTGGGTGGCTGAGGGCTCAGGGATGAGCTTACTCTGACATTGATGAGGTCTGAAGCCTCTATACACTTGGCCAGCCCTCAGACCTCTGGTACTCCCTACAGGAATCATGTGTCCTTAACAGTCAGGGTGTAGGGCTTCAGGAAAGGTAATGGTGTTACTCTTGTGTCTGGGAGAATATGATTAAGCATAGGTGACCACGTAGAGTTGTAGAATGTTACGGTGTTCCTGTTTGGCAAGTTTAGGGTTACTCTTGATCGCAACTTGACAGGCTCTCAAATCACCAGAGACAACCCTCTGTGTGTGTCTGAGGGAGTTTCTAGATTACGTTAATTGAAATGGAACACCCTCCTTTCGGGTGGTCATATATATATGGGTTTGGGTCCCAGACAGGATAAAAAGGTAAAAGTAAGCTAGCACCAGCATTTATCTCTCTGCTTCCCAACTGTAGATGCCAATAGCCAGCTACTTCATACTCCTGCTGCTTTGCCTTCCCTGTGTGGTGGGCTTCACCCTCAGATTGTGAGCCAAAATAAACTCAAGTTGCTCTTGTTAGGTTGCTTGCCGTAGCAAGGAGAAAAGTAAGTTAATACATCGAGAGTCTGGATCCTGAGTGTAGGGAAGTCTTCCTCCCTCTGCCCAGCCCCCAAGCACATCATTAATGGCGTGGTGAGTCCTGAGGACCTGGCTGGCAGTGGGAGTGGGGTCCCTCGGCAGGACGTTAGGCTTGCCTGGGTTTTAGCCTTTCTTGCTCAGCTAGGAAATTGGAAAACCATTGTCTGGGCACTTGAGTCCCCTTTTGTCATTGCTCCAGTGAGGTGCCAGAAACCACAAGACCTGCCTTGGGCAAGCTTGGGATGTCTGGATGTCGGTGATGGGAAAGGGCAGGCCCTGAGACATGGGTGCTAGCTTTTCATGCACTCTTCCCGCTCCTGCTTTGAGCACCTGGAAGCAACTCTTCAGGAGAGCCTCTCCCAGCTTGAGGCAGAGGCATGAGCAACTTGGCCTGAAGTTAGCTTTACCAGTGGGCTGCCACCAAGCCACTCCTGCACTGCAGTGGCCATGTGAAAGGTGAAGAGAGTGGGCATGGTTCTGGAAATCGTGTGGTCTCAATGGGGCAGGAGGATGTTTCCTGCTCTGTCGTCCATGCTGGGTTTAAGTATGTGTACATATGTGCCTCGTGACTGCAGAGGCCAGAGGAGTGTCAGATCATCTGGAACTAGGATTACAGATATTTGCAAGCCATCATGGGGGTGCTGGAAAATGAACCCTGGTCCTCCGGAGTCCAGCAAGTGCTCTTAACCACTGAACCATCTTTCTAGCCCCACTGTGATCTTTCTAAGTGAAGTTAAGGTTCCCAAAGACAGAGCTGTGTTGAGTCTCGATTCTGGCTAGGGAGAGCCTAGGCTAGTTTAGAATGAGCATGAGTTAGTTCAGTCAATTTATCTTTCCCTGAAGTGGCCATATGCCTGTAACCTGTTCCTTTTTTGGTAGATTCTCCTCCTAGGACACTGGGGAAGTCTGGGGTGGAGTAGGGGACAGACTGCAAAGGGGCAGCATACATAATGCCTTCAGTCTCTAGAGCAAGATGGGACTGGGAAACTGGCCCTCGTGTGGGAGAAGGCCACATCTCTGTGTGTATCCAGATGTCTGGAACCTTGGCTACACGGGCACCCTTTATTGTAGCCTCTGTCTGGGTGGGTAGAGCTCAGTACTCGCTCAGCCCCCAGTGTAGTTTTGTCCTTTATTTCCTGTGGCTATTTTCCTCTCCCTTTCTTCATTTGAAAAAAAAATAATCAGCAAAATCCTTATTTCCATAAGCATTTTCCCCCTGGCTGTAAAAAGCTGAATCCTAAACCCATTATTATAGCTGTTCGTGCTATTTTAATCTACTCCGTTTGGAGGTGAGAGGTAGCAGTGAGTCTGCAATTACTGAGTACATTTGCTCCATGGCACAGCCACCGGAGCCGGAGGAGAACCCTCCTGAGCAGGGTGGTGCCATGCGTGGCAAATCACTTTCAAATTTACTAAAAATATGCCCCTCTGCAGCCATGTAGATATCATAATTTTCCTCCCCAAGCCTTCCTGAAATTTCTGTTCGCTTCCTGCCTGGTGCTGGCTCTCAGCACATACTCCTTGGCTCGCCCGCTCGCTCCCTTTCATTCTTTCTCTTGGCCTTCATGCCCACACACCGTCTGGCCTCTGTTGCCCTCCACCCCGTGCCTTGTTTCTTGTCCCCCCACCCCCCAGTTTTCATCTCCTGCTCAGAAATGTTTTCTATTCTACTACCTGGCACGGTAGTGGAAACCATTTTTGGTTTGCCACGGTCAAGAAGGAGAATACTTAGCATTTTAAATCTCCTATCTATTTCACATTTAAACAAGCTGGCAAGCTGGAGCGGTGCCGCGCCTCCTACATACAGTAATTGTTGCATCCCTAGGCTCCCTTTTCTATCTCTGTGCCTATTTCATTCATTTTTCTATTTGCAGCCAGTGCAGAATATGGGCCGCTCCCCCTCCCCAGCTCCTGAGTCCCGCTTTCCATCCCGTGACCTTGGCTTCCTCGAGTGCTGCACTGTAATGAAATGTGGCATGGCCACATGGATCTTGATAAACTATATCAGTGCATGAATTGATTTTCATATTGATTTCCTTGGACCGGCAAGGTGTGTGTATGTGGGAAGCAAGCATCTTGTAATGACAGTCCTCGAGACTGGTGGGGATGCCTGGGGAGGAGCAGGCTTTGTTTTCTTTTCACCTAAGAAAACTTTCTGCTTGTTAGCACCAGGGAGAGGCTGTTGTGCTCTGTGGGTTCACTCTTAAAAGGAGCAAAGTGCCAAGGTTGTAAAGGCATGCAGCCTGATCCAAGAGAGAGAAGTATACCAAAGCTGTGTTCCATGACCCAGGCTTGGGGAGAAATATGATCTCAAAGCTTCCAGCTGCTTTGCTGTTAGAGAGACCTAGGAATCTATCAAGTTAGATATTGAAGATCATGTGCACCCGGCATCACGGAGGATCTGGGTTGGGGAGAAGTGCCGGCACCTTCCCCTGGTCAATTCCACTTTCCCTTTTCAGGCTAGTTGAGATGTGGCACTTGTGAATGTAGGACTGATGTTCTGCCCTAAGGGAATGTGTATAATTCATGATGTGTCAACACTGATGGCTGGGTGTGCATTGGAATGT